TATGCTTCAAGAGGCTGAGAGACTGAAGATAATCAAGCTTAAATTCAAACATACTATAACATTCATAAACAAACTTTTTTTAAAGGCATTTAAAGAAGAGAGATAAAGACAAGCTGAAATCACTTGGACAACATAATGGGAATTGCATGACTGTTGAATTAGCACTTTATAGGAACGGGAATGATTTTTTTTCCCCTGGAACTTATTAAAAGAATCATAGAAGGGTCGTGGTTGGAAGGGACCTTAAAGATCATCCAGTCCAACTCCCCTGCCATGGGCAGGGACACCTCCTATCAGACCAGGTTACCAAAGCTCCATCCAACCTGGCCTTGAACTCTTCCAAGGAGGGGGCAACCACAGCTTCCCTGGGCATCCTGTTCCAGTATGATTCACTATAGAACAAATAGAGCAGCTAATCCTAACTGACTTCTCCCTAAACCCAAACAAACAACTAACTAACAACAAAAACATAACCCACACCAAAACCCAAAAGAAACAGTCCCTCAGGTTGAGGACTTAATAGTTCTACAAGAAGACTGTTTAATTAACCCTAACAGAATGTTTTAAACATGACTACGATAAATTTAACTCATTATAAGGTCATCCTATGGTGCCAAAAAAAGGTAGTCATGCTCTTCATTAAATACTTCTTTTTTATGTCTTCCTTGCATCATCATTTGTGTTCATGCAGCTGTGCATTAATTGCATTAATCGGATCAAGCAGCTCATCCTGCTGCAAACTTTTCTTCTTGACAGGTTAGCTTTTGCTAAGCAGTGTGGGTTTATGACACATTAAATTGAAAGTGGAACTATGGCGGTTAGTGTTTTACCTTCACACAAAAAGTTGCACTGTTTAAACCAATTTTAAAAAAAACATTAAAAGAATTCAGGTCTTTGGATGAATACTCTTGTTTCTCTCATAGGATTTGCATTGATGTGGCTTAAATCTGTTAAGATTCAGCCTAAACCACAGTAGCAGACAGAAGAATAAAAGGTTTTTGCGAAAGCTTTGACTACATTAAAAATCAGTAGTTTAACCAGTGCAACCGTACATTCACTACATATTATTCAATGGAAGGCTGAAAACCAAAGCTATTCACTACAGAACTTGAAATCCTAATTCTGAAAGCAGATACAGAGACTCTACCAGAAAAAAGACGAGGTTACCATAAATCACCGGCTGATCAAGATCCCCAGAGGACTACCTGGAACTAAAAATCACACATACTCCTTCCTCTCTTATCTTCTACGGGAAGCTAGCAGCAGAAGAAAGTGAAGGAAAACAAAAGCGATCTCATAATCTGTTAAAACTGGTTTTATCTATGGAAATAGAAAATAGGTATATCTTATCGGCTGTATATACAGATTAATAAATGATATGATGCTTAGAACTGTAGAGATTTACTATTTATAGAGAAAAGGATCACTACAGATTTGTAACAAGATAGTAAAGCATTAATTTGGCAGGCTTGAGGATTTTGCTGAAATTATTTTTTACAACTGAAATTTATGGATTTATCACAGTAGTATTGTTGTTTAACAACAAAAGCAGGACAAGCAGCAAATAATAAATTAATCAAAAAGTCTACCCATTAACTTTGTTTCAATTTTTAGTTACTTAACTTTGCTGCTTCTTAGCCAGAAACTAAAACTAAAGAAAAGCTTTCCCTAAAGACTAGGGAGATCTATTCTTCCCATGTTTGTCGGGCCATTTCTCTATATCAGCAGAAGAGACATTCTTAATTTAAATGTAGTTCAGGTTCAAAAGCTGACCATACCTTAGAAATTCAAACTTAAATAGCCCAAGGTGTTTGGCTAGAGCAGAGGGGAGATTGCAAAGCTTTTTAAATTTCAGAATGGAATCATCACTTTTTTAAATGACTGTGTTGGTAACATGGAGATCCTAAATCACAAAAGACAGTCCCAACCTGAAAAGGATGGCAGAAGACAGAAGAGACTTCCACTTCCCTTTCATGCTAAGTTTTAAAATACAAATAGAAGCAGCAGTTAAGAGTTTAAAAACATCAAAGAAAGAAAACAACTGAATTCAGATATTGAAAAATAAGTTACAATTGTAATATGAGCATAGAAAATGCCATACTTTATAAATATATAGAAGTAGAATTCAATTTTTTCATAAAAATGGAAAACTGTGTAATCATATTGCTTTAGTTAATACAAAGGCAGAATTCAATTCCTCCTCCTTTTTAATTTAAGAAAATTTACTGATACTAGTAACTATACCCAAGCACAGCATGAAAAGAAAAAAAAGGTAAGAAAAATCACACTGTTTAGTATGCAGATTAAAAACTGTATTTATATTTCAGCAATACTCAAACCTAATACAGGAATTAATCTCCAGCTGTTTCGCAGTTTTGCAGAGACACACGAGGTAGTGTCAAAGCCATAAAGTAACACTCACTGTCACTGATTCTGTGCTACGAAAAAAGCAATGCATGGATTGATGCAATATGGAGACAGATAACCAGGGCAAAACACCTGGGTATCTGGGAATAAATACTAGGAGGTGCTTGACACTTAATTTAACAGAAACTCCTGTTAGAAACTCTGACCAGCTTGATCTGATGCAATTGATCCATCCAATGGATCTCCATTATAGTTTTCTTTGGAAAGAAAGCATTCAGTATTATCTGCAGTTAAGAAATACGGCTTTTAGCTATGGTTTTTAAAGTGTTTCTACATCTCAGGTGCTTGCATCTGTGCAATCACCATTAGGTTTAGCAAAAGTAGGAGGAAATTTGGGAAATACTGTGAGGCATATGACAAATAGAATGGTTGACATTTCAGGGTAGTAAATTAGCCATCAGTTGAATAGACCCGTGTTTCTCAAAGAAAACTAGGGGTTAAATAATCTGAACTAGTTGAAAATATGCTGCTCTCTTCCTGCATGCAAAATAAAAAGTTTGGTAATTCAAATTCCTTAAATAGTTCAAAACAGAGTTGACTGAATAGTTCGTATTTTTTAGAAGCAGATTGAATTTTATCATCATATTCACTGAAACTTTAATATACAAATGATATTTTGACTCATTATCCAAGTAATTTTATCCTCATTTTTCTTATGTACTTAAATTTGAAGGATGGCTAACTTTCTAATAGCCTTTTCTTATAAGCCATAATCTGCAGTAAAGGTACTGACAGATGAGACACCTAGGGGATAACTGGAGCCTGAGCTTTTGCCCATGCTGAGACTTTAGCTAATAAAGCTATGCTAATACAACCCCCGAGCATGAACGCCTCACCTGACAATGTAGTTTATGCAGCTGAGTCCCACACTGAGACAAATAACATAACACGTACCTGGGATAATAGCACTGAAAATTCAGTGTATAGAAGAGAAGGCCTTGATTACAATTTTCTTCCACGATATGCCAACTGCAGCACAATTTTGCCATTTTGCAAATGCATTTGTATGTTGGCCAACAGAACGGGGCTCCAATTGTGTTATAGCTTCACAATTCATATGAAAAACAGTCCAAATGCATATACCATTTTTTATGTAAATGTTTTATTCCACTGAGTCAATTTATGGGATCAGAGTTACAGACTAGACAAGTCTTTAATGGTTGAGTCAAGAACGCTAGCATTAAAGGTAAATTATAACCTTAAAATTTTATCTTGCTATTCCTAATATAAAATGCAAACTGTAAGTGAAAATTAACATTACTGACTTTTTACAAAAACAGTAAATTTTATGGGCGTTGTTCTCTTAATAATGGTCTCTGATATCCCTTTTTAACCATATTAAGACTCTCCTACACTTTAGATTTTAAAAATTATTCTCATCTTTCAAAGTGGCCTAAAGCCACACAAAACTTCCCACTATTATTTTCAGAGAAAAAGAAAAATAACTAGAGGACAGAGGACCATAGGTTATCTGCCTGGCCTCGGTTTACTTTGTTTTATCTAAATTCAAGAAATGAACTTGTCAAGGACATCTTATTCTCCAGATTTCTATGCTATTATCACTATTGAACACAGATTAAATTTCCCATATCATGATATATGCATCAGGGTCATACTACTACTGTAAAAAATACCATTTTCTTTCGCTGAGTCACATACTAACTGGCCTTTGTTATTCCTTATATTTAAAAAGAAACCACAAGTGCAAGGACATTCAGTGCATTCGTGCTTTTTGAAGCTGAACTGAGATAGCTGCTTACATGAAAACAGGCCAGGAAGGGAACTAGGATTACAACCTTGCAGTAGGTAGGAAATCCGTTCTGAATTCAAGTGCAGGGATAATACCAAAGGGTGTTCAAACTGATTACAAATTCCCCAGTAGTAATTATATCACAATAGGATAAATGATCCCATTCTGAAGCAAGCAATTTTACATACTCTGGAACTCTAAGTTATCCGTCCGTATTTTGATAGGCATAATGCTACTTAATTAACTGAGATCCACAAACAAAAGGAAAAAAAAATCCTGTTGGGAAAGTACATCAAACAATCTGTTTTTATTGTATATATAATAAAACCTGCAATCAACCAGCATTTTGGGTCATAGCCAAAGCAATGCTTCCCATGATGCCACATACAGATCTCTCTTTTTGAAATGCATGCAGTTCACAAGGAAAAAACATTAAAAATCATGAATAAAAATGTGGCGGTGTTTTTCACATCAGATATGACCACAGTTTTAATTCGTTTGAAAGCATTCATTAATCTTAATAAATTCCTTATGACTAACATAGCAGATGTTTCCCTGCTATCAAAGATCTATTTTTCAAAAAGGACAAGTGAGAATAAAAAGTGCAACTGTATTAGTGTTACATTTAAATGGATATTTTCATGGAAATGACAAAACTAATCACAAATGACTGAATACTAAAAGTTTGCTTTTTCAATAAGCAATTAGAAGTTCAGTGTTTGCAAATGTGTATTTACCTATACATACTATATGGAAAAGCAGGTGTTGTTTACAGATAAATGCTTATTCTTGTTTAAAATATTTTAACTTATACACCACCTACCTTTTGACCTCCTGCAGATTCTGCACTGTGATGCTCTTTTAGTTTTTGTTCCTGTTCCATTATGTCTTTCAAATGTTCATTTACCTAGAAACAAAATAATTTATTCAGTGGTCTGTTTTAAGAAACAAGACACAAAACTTACAAGGTTTCAAAAGGTCTGTAAATCACTACCACTGAGTTAACTGAAAAGATTAAACAGACACGTCAGACTATAGCTCTGAGGCATAATCAGCAAATGTCAGTTCCAGATGGAGTCTGGGGTCACTAGTTGGTAGCTTTACGTTGCACAACTGATCTGCCCCTTATTATGCTTGATCACATTTAATTAACAGTTTATCCCTGTTACTTGATTCGATTATGCAGTGAAGGTCGATCACTTCAAGCAAGATGCGTTCGAATACAAACAGAATACCTTGGTTTTGAATCATGATGGATTACACAATAAGGTGACAACTCTTAAAGAGCCAAAAAAAGACCCTCAAGCAGCTGTCGTGGCATCTCAACATGAGAGTAACTGCTAAGACATCATATGCAATGTATATTACAGTATTTTATTTAGACTTCCCATTTATTTGGTTCACATAACGTTTAACTCATTTCTGCAAACTTTACTTTTTTATCCATACATAGCAGATGAAGGAACAGTCTGTATCAAACACAGCCTTGATATACTTACATACATACATACCCTACCTACTCACCTCAAATCAAACCATATAGACTACAAAGAAAATCCCAGCTTGCTTTTTCAGTACTCTTACCTTGTTTATCCAGTACATAACTGCATCCTCAATGTCATAAGGTAGATCTGTAGCTTGGAAGAAGGATGAATACTGCTGAGTGCATGCAATCACTTTCTCAACGCTGACCATCTCTACAGTGTATGCCATCATAAGAGTATCAATCATGGCCAAGTGAGCACTCTATAAAGAGAAGCAGCAATACCCAATTAGTTTGCCAATCGAGATTGTTTTCTTACGTATTGTGTAAGTCACATACATGCAAAGACCAAAACTGTAAATGCTACAAGTTTTCTGTCTGGTTATCAGTTTTAGAATGAAAGACAAATGAAGACACACAAACCGGATTTGAGAACGCAATTCAAAGCACAAGGACATTAATTTAAAAAAATGCTTATTGCAAATTAAAATAAATTCTGTAACAAAATTAACACCAAAAATAAAGGACTGGAAATGGAAAGAATAAGCAGTTTTAATGATTTAAACATTACATCACTTCTAGCAGAGCTAAAGAGGTATTTTAAATTTGTCACTCTAGTGAAAACAAAAACCCTTGCCTGATCAATGCTGTTTGTACTGGAAATAAAATCTGAGACTGCCTGGTAAATAACCTTCATCATCATGAAAACGCTTCCTCAGTAAGTGGAAGTTTATCTATTTTAAAGTCATAATCCAGGAAGAAGACACAATTATACTGATCTTAAATAGTAAAACAACATGACAGAAAATATTTAATTTTCTTCTGGTAAACTAATTGTCTTATGCAGATGCAGCCATATATGAAAGACTAGGTTTAAAATAAGCATAAAATGAAAAATAAAATGTAGCATCTGTTAAAAAAGGAGGTATGTTTCTCCCGGTGTTGCTATGTATTGAAAGACAATGGCTATTTCACAGTTTGCAATAATTAAAAACAGAAAGAAACCAAACCAGCAACAATAAAAAACCAGAGGATGGCAACCAGGATTTACATTAGATTCTCATGACTGAGTAAGAAAATGATGGTGGTTTGCAGAGGCAGTGCCTACAGCTAAACAGATTTGTATCTGCTTCACAATAAGAACAGCAACAGCTTTCTAAGCATTAAGCAACACTTCCCATGAACCAGAGCAATTTCCAAAGACAGTATTTTTTAAAAACATTGCCTTGAAACACAGTTCACGAGGCAAACAAAAATCCCAAACACTTAACAACACCATCACTTCAATTCAGATTCAAATGCTATGTCCCACCACTCAGCCCATGAGAACAGGGATACAAACTGGGTCTTTTCTGCCTATTGCCCTCTCTCCCTTTATATATGAAAAATACTCACATAAACATTTCACAAGGTAGCTATAACAGCCATGGCAACAGCGATGAACACCATGAGTCACACAGCAATACGCTATCTAATCACTGTAGTTAAGGTACTACACGCACATCATTTATTCCAGAATTCTTAGCAGGAAAAGATGAACAGATCCAGACTTTGTGCTGCCCTTAGTGTTTGCATCACTGATGAAAGCAGTGATGCTAGCCTCAGAAGCAAGCAGCAGCACATACTCATTCTTTTTCGTGCAGTTAAGTTGCTTTGTTTGACAAAAAAGGCAAACCATACTTTATCTACTGAATGAAGAGCTTTTTCTCTTTGGACCCTGGATGTGACCTGAAGTCCCCTTTCTGCCACACGTTCACCCATGCTCCTAGCACAAGTAGTACAGCCAGGCTAGGAACCAGAGCCTCTTCACTCCTGCCACCACTGACTGACTCATTCAGAATACACTCTTTTCATCATATCCATCTGTCTTACAACTTTATTTACAGATCTTTAGTGCACAACTACTGATACAAGCTCTAAGGTGAGACTGAAGGAAAGAGCTGGAGAGCTGAATTCTTGCCACCAAAAGTATTTAAGAAGGAAAAGAGAGTATTGCCCATGACCAGCCTCCTGGGAAACCTGCACTCCCATGTGAAATACAGCAATTCTACACACAGATAGAAAAAAGTCATTCCTTTGTTGGCCCAGCAATGCAGTGCACAGGAGTTTAGATAGAGCATCACATTAACTGCTAGTAAGGTCCCAAAACCTTGTGAGGGATTGCAGAGCCTCGGTCAGCTATATGAATCCACGCAGTTCTGCAGGAGTTTCCAGCTCAGATTTCAGAAGGGTGATTTAGCAAGCGCAAAACAGGAAGAAAGACTTGCATCATCTTTGACATCCAGCAACTACAGCTCTAACAGTCTTTCCTTGCTATATCTTTGTTGCCTAGTCTGAATGGTACCTGGGTTAAAACCTTGTGCCGCTTCCAGAACCTCTGCAGAAAATGAAATGGAGATACTAAAATAGCAAGAAAAGGCTGGACTTGCCTTTCAAAAGCAGGTAATGCACAAAATGCGTTTCCCAGTCAGACACCAAAGCAGCCTCACAGAGTGCTGCTGCTAGAGGTGTGCTAAGTCATCTGCGCTGGCCCAGAAGCACTCGCACTGCCTGCTGCAGGAGAGGGTTTCCATCCCTGCCCATGGGGTGCACACAGCCTTCCAGCTGGGGTCTGACAATCAAGGAGGCTCCGAGCAGGTCTGGAAGCACAATGGTGGTGACCCACAACTGGCTACTGTGCCTGTGCTCCCAGACTGGCCTGCTGCTGGCAGCTCCCCCAGAGGGAACTGAGTAGCCTTCACCTCCCATGCTGGATCACCAGTTTCTCTGAAAAATCTGATTATGCCTATCAAATGGATTGCCAATGGAGAGAGAAAGCCACTGAAGCATTGCTAGAACTCCCAATATGCTCAATACATTAGAAATCCATTAAAAAAATTAAATTATTTACAACTAGCTAGCTGAGTTGCATTTCCAATGTTTCCAGCAAATTATTAATGAACTGTAAACTAATTAAGCAAACAGAGGAAATAATGACAGGGATAACCTTAGATAATGCTCTGTACTATCAAAGCCAAGTGTAATAAACTTTTACCCACACTGACTGAATCCATGTCACAACTCTTTCTTTTACATAAACTATTAAATACAACCATCTTCAGAGTTTCAAAAGTGACCCCATATTATTTTCTTTATAATCCAGGAAGGATGCACAAAAAGAGATTAAAAAACAACAAAAAAAACCAACAAAAACCAACAAACCCAAAACTAATAATTTAAGTCAACTTGCATCTATTATCCTGAGAAACAAACATTGCTATTTTTCCTAATTAGTAAAATCAAACTTTATTTTATAAATAATTTCTTTGTTAGTATAAACAGTTTAAAGTATTAATATGTATGTATTTTTCCCCCAGAAAATTGCAAGCAGTCAAATCAACACATAAGATAACTTATACCTGAAATAGTTGTGTGTTTTTTCTGTTCGTTTGTCGTTTTTGGTTTTTTTTAAAGGAGGTACAGAAAGAAAAACTATTTAATTCCACATAGAGCTCTACTGGTTTTCTTCACTCACTCTGGAAAGTCAGACAAGCTGCATTCTTTTACATCTCTTAATTCACTATGCTCAACAAGAAAGACCAAATTAAAAACTGCACCACAAAAATAGTATCGCACTGTTCTAAATACAGGGTATATCAGGATAACAGCTGAAGTTGCCTAAAGAAAAAAAACCCAATTTTTAACAAGTTCTAATGATAGTAAATAAAGTTCCCTTTTTTGGTATATCTCTCCCTGAACAGCCTATTTTAGGTACAGCGAAGAAAGCAAGAGGGAGAGGTCACTTTTACGAGTCAGATCTGCAATTATGTCTGAATTATGACACAAGGAAGTAACCTTTCCTACCTGAAGGGGAAATACAGATACTAGGATCAGCTGCAGAGCAGTATCTTCTTTCTCTGGGCAAGCCTGTAATACAATGCCTAAAGGAACCCTTCAGGAGCTGCTGAGAACTGGTCCCAAGATGGGACTCCAAATGCTGGTATTTCCTCTAAGATGTCAGCATTCTGACACACAGCATAATAAAACCAGGCAGGCTTTCACACCATCATACACCTCCCATATCTAGAACTGCAGCAAGGCATAACTGAATAAGGACCCATGATTTAAAATATATATATATATTTTTTTTTAGAGAAATAATTAAAAAGTCAGTGACATATCAAATTACGCAGAGTAGAGCACAAAACAAAAAAATTCAAGATCAACGCAGCTGCAGTGAACGACATAGGAAGTAATATACTGTTTTATGACAAAACTTTGTTATGCAGAGATTTGGTGTAAGCCAATTAAAAAAAAAATCTTTTCATTCTTTGAACATTTCACTACAATGGTGCAAAGTACTAAAGTCTTACATGGCACACTATACAATATTAAAAGAAATACAAAATGCTGGCTTCTTAGAGGTAATTTATCTTCCAAGACACAAACATGGTTTTGTCTTTCCCAGCTATACCATGCACGGAACACAAGAGTTTTAACCCAGTAATCTTTCCAGTCTCATGTAATTACTGGTTAGTTTCTGCCTTATAATGTAGGTTCCACAGCTTTATTTTCTACTGCTGAATAGTTCAGTAAGAAGCTTATTGAACTGTAGAGGAAAAATTATTCTGAGCATGACGGTTAATGCTTTCTCTGTCTGCCTAATCTTTGATTACAGAGCTTGCTCCACCTCCACGTCACAAACATTAAAAAGTGTACCAGGAAAAAGGCAGATCTGATATGGTACACACAGACAGACACTTACAGATAAACACCACATGTTACAGACAGCTCTTATTTCATTACCTAACTACTAAGGCTATTTCTCATTTTCCATTAAACAATATTCAAGTCAGGAGTCCTCTTTTGGCCTGCTCCTTTAGGGAAATTATAGACAAAACCATTTCCCACTACGGCGCTTGAAGGGAGAAACAGAAGACAGAAAAAACCAGAGAACATAAATGTTATTCTTATAAAATAAAGAAATAAATAAATTACTCTTTCCTTAAGTCTTCCACTGAAAGAATAAGTACCCTATTCCCATTGCGCTTTGTGGAAGAGATTTGAACTTTGACAGGGTATGGCATTTGTAAACAGGAAGATGTATTTCTGTTCCTATGGAAGCTGATCGTGCTTCAAGACTTTTTGGGCAAGAATGTAGTGAAGGAATACAGTCATATTTTTTAAAAAGTTTTCGCGCTGTAGTTCTCACTTGCACAATAAACACATATTTCTAGTTAAATTCTCTAAAGATTTTGTCTACACTGGATCAGGCACTTGAGCA